AGGGTGGGGATTTAGAGGGAAGGAGGCAGGGAGGATGGGGCAGGCAGGGAGGGATGGGATGGGGCAGGCAGGGAGGGATGGGATGGGCAGGCAGGGAGGGATGGGGCAGGCAGGGAGGGATGGGATGGGGCAGGCAGGGAGGGATGGGGCAGGCAGGCAGGGAGGGATGGGGCAGGCAGGGAGGGATGGGATGGGGCAGGCAGGGAGGGATGGGGCAGGCAGGGAGGGATGCGGCCGGGCGGAGCGGAGGCGCTGCGCGCCCTGCGCGGACGGGGCAGAGCGGGTGAACGCTGAGCGCGGGGTGTGAGCGGGCTCCGGGCCGGGGGAGGTGCCGAAGGGCAGGGGCAGACCTGTGTCTCCATCCCAGTGTGCTCGGGGGGCAGGAGCAAGGAGATGCGTCCCTCCATCCCGGAGCCATCGGGGCGCGGGGGGCTTCCTGTGGGGTGCCGGGCGCTGGGAACCTCGTGTTGCTCGTCCTCAGCTGCCCCACCTTCTGTCGCCACGTCTCCGATTGCAAAGCAGTTCTGGAGCCTCACAAAGGTGACGCGGAGAAATGTTGGCGGGGTGGTGGAGCCCCGAGTCCCCGCAGTGAGGTGCTGAACCTGCCCTCGCTTAGGCACAGCGGAGCTGGCAGGCTGCTGCCTCCAGGACCAGGTGCATGTACAGGTTTTATGTTTATGCTCCTGTAATTAAAATATTGATTAAATGGACTTAGCGAAAGGAGATCAGAAGGGGAAGGGGTGCTGTTTATTTGCTGCACACCATGTTTTGTCCATTAACCAGAGATTTGACTCTAGCCATGCTGTGTGTCAGGAGAGGGAGATGATGCTGTTGAAGTTGAAATGTGAAGAAAGTGACAAAGCCTTTCTAAAACTTTGTCGAAGAGAGTGCAATGTGTAATTGCTCACATAGAAAATGTGGATTTCTTTTCTGCTTTCTGCACTTAGGGGCTGTGTTAGTCTGGGATTTGCTTCTTTTTTAATTCGCCTTCACAGGCTCAGGATATGAATTTCTAATAATCATGAAAGGAGAACCTGGTATGGATAAAGGCAACAGGCAAACTATACCTGTAGAGTTTTGTAAGTCAAAGTTATGTTGGAATGCATGAGGCATTTTAATACCCAGGAAGCCCCTTCCTAAACACATAGGGCATGACCATCACCTACTGCATCCACTAACAAATGCAAAGCACATACAGCCACTTTGGAAACCAAATTGTCCTGTCAGGTTTTCTGGAGAAACAGTGTTCTGTTTAGCTGTTACACCAAAAAGTATCTGTCGGGGGAATTAGACTTTGAATATCCATTTTGTATCTCATGCTGGGTAATTTCCTTTTTAGAAAGCATTGTTTATGCTTTACTGAAAATGTGACGGTATCCTTGTGGCTATCTCTTAGAATCCTGGAAAATAACTATATAAATGATAATAATATGAAAGATAAAAGCTTCAATATTACAGCAGTGTATCATTTTGTGAAGGACTATCTTTTACTGTCACTGTCAGAAGCCTTTGGGAGAAAATGATCAAAGCAGTGAGGGAAGAAGCTTGAAATATAATTTAATGTGTTTAGATAAATAGTGAAGCTAGGTGCTGGAGAGCAAAGTGAGTTAGAATATCTGGCTGCAAACTTTTCACTTCTTCAAATGTTGTTGGAGGAAGATCTTCTAACCTGCTGTGGTGTTGAATATTCCATGCTCCTTCCCATTTATCCATTCAAAAGGATAAATGGGTCCCAGTCCCACCTTCCACATCCCCAAGCGTGCTGGGCTCAGTGTGTATTGCAGCCTGCTGGAGTCAAGCACTGATGCTCTCAAACATGAAACACTATTTGTTCTGGCATTGCAACTTTTCCTTGCAAGGACCAGCTTCATTTCAAGCAGAGGCTTGCTGCTGTTGGAATAGCATGGGAATGTTGACCAGCATTTGGGGTTTGCCTTGGTTTTGCTAGAGAAAAAGGTATTTTTACTTAGCGATGTCTTCACATAGCAAGTTTTCAACAACTGTAGTTACCTCTGATTATGTTTGTAATTTATGAAGGAAGAAGCTGAGGAATGGCAAGTTTCTAAACCAGAGGACTGCCATAGTTTTATCTTTTTGAGAATAGCCAGCAAGCATGGATAGAAACAATAAGAAATAGTGAATTGCAAAAATAAAAAATGCAAGCTGACCATTGGTCCTAAACTGTCATCAAGCTTAGTGCCAGATTGCATGTTAATTATCACCCTCTACCCAAATTAAACTTGTTTTGCAAAATTTATTTTTCTGGGAAAAATAAAAAAAAAAACTATTCTGGCTTCATGCTTGATTGTTCCTGGAGAGTTATCATGAATCAATGTAGCAACACCTTAGATACAAGCACTGTAATGCTGGATGGAAATTTCACTGCTGGCATTTATTGATAAGCATTTGATGTATCTTCTTTTTGGGCTCTTTGGTAGTGTTGCTACTGCTCAGTAAAGTTGTTTGGGTTTCTTTTCAACAGGGATGTATGTATCCGTAAGATGGAGGATAACAGATCTCTGCAAACTGGGCAAAGCTGACATTTGTAACTGAGATTACTGGTGTAGTGTAGCATCTGCATCTTCTGCATCTGCAAAGTGAGGGAAAGGGCAAGGGCATGAAATGTAATGTTACAAGTGCCTGAACAGTGCTTGAAAGTATTTAGAGGATCAGGATGTGTGTATGGTCGTGTCATGTGGTATCTAGCAAGGAGAATTAAATGCCAAATGAAACTCAGCAGAATAACATAGGGCATCAAACACTATATACAGAACTTTCCAATACAGATAGGATTAAATGTAAGGTTGTTACCAAAATTTCATTTGGGCAGCAGCAAGTCATCACTTTCATTTTAGGCTGTTGTTTACCCAGCAGATTTTTAAAGTGGTTTTGAAATGTTGTTGACTTAATGGAAGCCATATCTGCTTGGGAAAAAGTATCTAAGTAAATAAATGCATAACAGATGCTAGAAGATTGTTTAGCTACATATCACATGGTTTATTAGGAGTAGGATATATTGTGAGATTAAAAAGGATTGAAATGTGTAAGCATTGGAAATGGTGAGCTGCAGGAATCAGTGGTGGGTCTGCACTATTCCCTGGCAGCCTTTCAGTGTCAATGCCACATGTGAAGCCATGACTGATGGAGCTACACTGATGCAAGTGTACAGACAGGGACATCATGAGTGGAGCTCTCACTCCCACTTCAAGAAATGAAGTTAGAGCTTCATTTGGATAATCTGGAGCAAGTTATGTTGGCTAAAGCAGAATTTTGCTGGCATAAGCTGAATTTTGCTGGCATATGGTGTATGCATGATAGGTGTGCTTTGCCTTCAGAGAATTGCTAGTGCTGTTGTGTGGAGAAAATACCCTAGAGCTACTGGGTAGTCAATGGTATGCCTGTACCTACAACATACTTTGGCATAAAGAGATTTTAATGTAAGCCTCTCAATTTTTATTTTTATTGTAATGATATTTATGTGGAATTTACATTGTCCTATCCTCACCACCATTTCCTGACTGAAAGCAAGATCTGAAATTGCTTTGCTGAAGGACGAAGTCCCATCTGCTGTGTGGAACAATGTACCTTTTAAAGAAAATGACCCTCTGCTGCCTCCTCATTCTCTTCTAACTAGCAAAACTGTGGCCCAGCAGTCATCCCAGGGTCTAGTCTGGGGAAATCAGAAAGCATTTTGGCTGTTGGAAAGACAGCTGGATCAGGCAGTATTGGGAGCACAAGCAGAGAAGGGGAACACTGCTCTCAGACCCCTTGTCTGCCTTTCAAGACAAAAGTGCTGGGGGGACAAGCCAGCGCTGGGCCATGGAGCAGCAGGACACACACACATGTGTCTGGAACTCACTGGGATCTCTGTCTATAGTGCTATAAATTCTTGGCAAGATAGTAAACTGTTGTCCACAAATACTTCATTAACTCCTCAGCTCACAGAGCTGCTTGTGTTCCTGTTTAGTCTGAGCAGACAACACAGGTATCCATTTATTTTTTCAGGAAATGTGGATTTTATACATGTAGGAATATGCTCATTTATACCTGTTACTTATCTGTGTATTCAATTTACTAGAAAAAAAATGCATCCCGGAACTTTTGAACATACTTTTACCTACAATGGTCATTTTTCAGAATAATGTATTTGTAGAATGATTTCTTACCTTTCTCTTCACCATCCTACTTTATATGCTTCACTATGCTCTTTGTAAAAGTACTTCCTCCATAACTGTAAATCTGCCTGTGCATACGACTAAGTCTTCTTTAGTTTTTATCTATTATTTGTGTTGAAGCAGTACTTACAGATTTTATTTATAGAGGTATTTAACTGTATTGGTTATGTGGCTATATATAGCTTTTTTTTTTCTAGAATCCGTGTTAGTACAGTAC